ACAGCTCCCCAAATCAAGAATGTATGCAAGTCAGAGCTGGATGGGAGCAAAGATCCTGAGGAAAAAAAGAGAAGAGAAAAATGGGACAAACACAAGAGAATCAGGCCAGAGGCCATGTGGTGTGAGAGAGAGAAGAGGAATGTTGAGATGTCCTCTACATATACCAATTTCCAAGCACCCTGGTGCTTTGTTTTTTGAGCTATTTCCCTTTATTCTTTTACTAAATCCCCTCTTCCATGAATGAGTCTGAGTAATTTTCAATTTCCTGTAAACTACTAATCCTTAACATGCTGTTCTACCTCAGATAGTGCCACTTCCTAAAAGCTGTTAGTGTTAGGTAGGGTTTCTTTGAAAGAACCTAGACAGGACTGGGAGAGGCAACAATGGGAAGATAGCCTCCCAGGAAGCAGGAGTCAGGGGTGAGGAGAGTGCTGGTGGAGGGTTCCCTCTTGGGGGCATGAACTCTGCTGCAATTCTGGATGGCACCTTCAAGGGCTGAAGGAACTCTCATGCTTTAGAGAAAGTCCTGACCCAGGCAAATGGAGAATGAAGAATTGAGCTGCAATGCTGTCGGCATGCTTGGGAATGTTCTGCCATAGCTGCACCTGAAAGTGAGGATGGGTAGGAGGCTGTGTCATGGAGCACCAAAAATGTCTGCTATGTCCTTTAGATTTCTCTATAGTTCATACATGTGGATATTCCCTTCTATGTCTACAAAACACCAGTCCAAACCAAACACCTCCACCATAGCTTGGCCCTCCTGATGGAAGCTCCCTGACTTATTTTGCTGTCTATAGCTTCCCCATTACCACTGTTGACCAGGGCGCAGGAGAGAAGGATGCCTGATCTGACCCCATATTCAGAAACCTCACCCAGTTCTGAGACAGAGAAGACTGACGGGTTATTGCTCTTGCTCCATGAGTGGTCCAGCCATCTCTATCACCAGTCCCATCTCTGCCATTGACCACCTTCATGACTGGCTAAATTGTCTACCCAGCTTGCTTAGTCTCTGTTTTTGTCATTGGTAGAAATGGAGACTTGCTGAGAGCATTGCATAAGATGATGAATGAAAGACCCAAGGAAGACGGCTGATGAAATGTAAATGCTCGGTATATGTTTGTTACCTTACCTTCTCCAGGGGTAAGCATTTATAAAGAAAGCCCATTCTGCTGCAAAACGCGTGTTCTCCTTTTCTTCTTGAACAAATATCTTAGTTTTTTCTTGGAAAAGTACCTTTCCTCCTTTGCTTTTGTTCAGACAGAGCTGTCTCATACCTCCTGTCCTAGAAGAGCATGTGGTCCAGAAGTAGGCAACCAGACACATGGTGACTATTCAAGATGGCCACCTACTGGGAAAGGAATCTATTTCTACTTGGCTTCTAAGCAGATAGGACATGAGTCTGTAGCCCCTGGTGTTCATCTCCTCTTGACAATGGGGAGAGCTGCTGAAGGTGAAGCCTACACAGTAGAACATGTTGCTGAGAGACGGTGGTACCATTTGGTCACTTGAATCTAAAGGTGACCAAAATAAAACTTTATAGTTAATAGGGTGAATAAATGTATGAGTTGAATTCTTGTCACTTGTAACCCTCAAAATCATAGCTGACAACGACTTCCTTATGGTCAGCCACGGGATATGGAGTGGTAATGAGTAGAGGCCAAAGACAGTCAGGGTGGCCCATGGTCCACTTGGATTGGTTTGTGGTAAGGGATCCCAAGTCAGAAAAGACAAGCCACTTCCAGGAAGGGAGAAGGATGCAGGGCTGGCAGCTGGCAGAGGTTCTCTTGGCTGGGCATTCCAACACTTTGCTGTTCGTTGGTGCTGGGCACCTGGGGTTCATTCTTCTGCATAGATCTGGTCCACCAGGCTGTTTGGACCATTGTCTTTCAGAGGTATAACTCCTTAGTGCTCTCTCTGCAGAAAAGTCTGTTCTGTCCTCACATCCAAGTCTTCTGTTGATGTGTAGTTGGATATCTGTCACCAAACAGACTTGCCTGGAATATTCTGAAGATAACAGTTTAACCCTAGAAGGGTTCCACTGTGGTTCCATTTTGGAAGCTGCTTAGTTCTCTGATGATGTATGGATGGAACCAGTTTTTTCTTTGGGCACAGAAAGTGCACCTAGCAGAGTGCTGGTGTCTATGTGAAGGAACAGCCTATTTCCTCTAGTTCTTGAGTTTTCCCAAATGAGTCTCATGAATTTCTTTTGGGTATTGGCTGTATCAATCAAGGTCCAGGCGGAAACATATGGGATATCTTAGTTTTCAATGGCTGCTGTAACAAATTGTCATAAGTTGGGTGGCTTGAAAGAGAAATGTATTGTCTCACAGTTCTGGAGACTAGAAGTCTGCATTCAAGCTGTGATAGGACCCTGCTCCCTCAGGCACTGTAGGAGAGAATGCTTCTTTGCTTCTTGCTAGCTTCTGCTGTTTTGCTGGCAGTCTTTGGCATTCCTTGGCTTGCAGCTGTAGAATGCCACTCTGCCTTCAGCATTGCATGGCCTTCCTGTGGTCTTTGCCTTCACATGGCCATCAGTCATATTGGATTAGGGGCTCTCCCTATTCCAGTATGACCTCATACTAACTAGTACATCTGCAAAGACCCTGTTCCAAAGAAGGTCAATGGGGGTTGGGAACTGGAGTTCTCTCAAGGAGCTTCATCTGTGTTGAAGATCCCATGGGTGGGGAGAGGGCTGGAAGAGAGTAGGGAGGGCAGATGAAGTACTCCAGCCTCACTCTTCCTATTAGCCAGTTCCCAGTAGCTGAGCCCATCAGGAGCAACAGATAGGGTTTCTCACTGCTACCATCCATCCCTGCCAGGCTCCTGAGGTACGGAAATGGAGCAGCCATAGAACCTGACCATGCTACCCCCACCCCCACACAGTGGGGAAGGGGCCCTGAGGTGCCAAGCAATGTGCTCTCTGCAAGGACTCTGGTGTTTCAGAGAAGGGCGGAAATACTAAAAGTGGTCACTGGGGCATGTGATTGGTTTTTCTTTGTTTCTTTATACTTTCCTACTTAATTCCAATTTTTAAAATTTTGTAGGTATTTTAGGGGACACCCCCCTCCAAAAAAAACCTCCATCTTTCTCAGCATTGAACATGAGGGCTGCATCAAGCTCTGTAGTGGCTTCTCTGTTTTCTGGGACAGTCACTGGCTAGCTGGTTTTTTTAGAGTCCAGTCCTTTTGTGTCTCTGGGGTAAGTGCCCTCAGGTTGCTCAGAGCAGCAGTATTTCCACAGCATGATCACCCTCACTTTTCTCATCTGTGAAATGGATGATCGACCTTTCCAAATGGGCCTTGAAAGGGAATGCTCATTGAAAATTGTGACTATCTGTGGGATCATTACTACTAGGTTTTGTGGGGTTTCAATGGAGAGGTTACGATAAAAATAGGTTTGGAGCAACAGCGACACTTGGTGGCCATTACTCACATTGCATGACCTGCTTCTTATCCACCTTCCTCTTGTTCCCCCTCAACTTCTACCCCACTAATATTTAATTTTTTTTTTTTTTTTTGCACTGTGCTTCAACATAAGGGTTAGGGATTTTCATTCACTAGGCTGGTAAAATACCTCGTCCTGAGAGGGCAGCAGCACCTGGAATGCACACGAATGGACAGGTCATTTATCTCCCCAATAAAGACCTTTCGACCTTTCACTTTCTGTTCCCTAATTAAACTCTGCTAAACTCTCTCTCTCAAAAAAAAAAATTTATAGTTAAGACTGGCAAAAACCCTTGGTCCTTCCTATTATTCCTTATACTCTCTCTTCAACAAAATTAGAGATAAGGGCAAAATAGTTTCTGCCGGGTAGCGAGGGGGTGGGGGGGAAGGGAGGGGCGGGAGGGGGAGGGAAGGGGGGAGAAATGACCCAAACATTGTATGCACATATGAATAAAAGAAAAAAAAAAGAAAAGGTGCCAATGAGAGGGCAACAGTTTGCCCTCCTTTTCTTCTTTTCACCTTCCCAATTAGCAAGAGCCTTGGACTTAGAGATAAAAGCCACCTGTTAAGGAAGGCAGAGTCTCTCCTACCTCCACGTGCAGGCCTGGACTGGTGTATCCGTTTGAATACAGAATGCAGTAATAAACGTGTTATTTAATAACAACCACAGAAAAAAAATTTATAGTTAAGGTTGTTACTAATAATAAATATATTGGTATATGATAACATTACATATTAATATGTGCTTATATTTTGCTGTATTATATGTAATATAATACCTATTTAACGTAATATATGACATGTGTGTATTAATGTACTATGTGTAATTGTTATATATTATACTATAATATGATATACAATAGTATCATTATTAGTATTTATTATTAATTATATTAACATTAATCAATAATATTGACATGATCATTTATTGTTTTATATATTTATGTATTATTCATGTAACAAGTTATTTATGTATAATATACAAAATATTAGTTAATTATTAATGTGAATGATTAATATTAATAGTTGATATATAACAATTGCCATTACATAATACTTAAATAATAATAACTGTCATTTAAGTTAATCACGAAATGAAAACTTTGGTTTCCTAAGTGCTGGGGCCACCTGTGACCGCCATACTGGATAATGCAGATTACCGGGTGTTTCCATATTACAGAAAGGGTTCTCCTAAAGGGTTATTGAGTCTGCTGGTTGTTGGAAATTGATGGGGGCAGGTTTCCCACCCTTTTCTTTTTTGTGGGACTGTGGTTTGAACCCAGGGCTTCGCACTTACAAAGCATGCGCTCTACTGCTTGAGCCACTACCCCCCGCCAGTCCATTTTTGTTCTGGTTATTTTGGAGAAGGGGTATTGTAAATATTTGCTTGGGCTGGCCTTGAACCACAATCCTCCCGATCTCAGCCTCCTAAGTAGCTAGGATTACAGGTGAAAGTCACCTTTGGATGTAGGATGGGGGCGGTTTTCTGGGTGAGCCTCCAAGCAGGCTGATAGCGACATTGTGGGTGTACAATGCAGAGTTTGATGCATGACAGCTCCTGTTTTCCTGCTCAGTTGTCACCCTACAGAGTGGGGAAGCTTCTGGAAGTGTGTCCTGGGATGTTCAGTGGGAGACACCCAGAGGCACCAGGAGGTGGGCACCCCTGGAAGGTTAGGAACTAGGGCTTGTGAGGGACCACAGCGGCGGGAGAAGACAGGAGAACCGGCACATGCCAGGAAAGCCTTTATTCCCATGGAGTGACACATCTGGCCTCCTGAATTAACCTTCCTCTGGGACATTGAGCTTGTCCTTCACCCCACAAGCCACCACAGCAAAAAAGAACTCAGGGAAGAAGGTGCGGATGTACACAGCGGCCTTGGGGACAGGGTTGGCCATGAACACCTCTTGTTTCTTCCGCCGCACGGTGCGCATCACCTCCTCGGCCACCTCCGCGGGGTGCGCTCCGTAGGCCAGCTTCCTGAAAAAGACTTTAAGCCCGGTGAAGGATAAGGGTTGGTTGGTGGCCTGGGTGGGGAGCAGACTGGTGAGATGGGGGAATGTGGGCTTCTCAAGCATCATGGGTGCCAGGCCTCTTTGTCACCCACTGGCCTTGACCCTGGGGGAGACACTTCATACCCTGGTGGGCTTTGCTTCTTCCTCTGTGAAGGAGACCTAGTTCCTGCCTTGGCACCTTTGCAGGGGCGTCATGAGCAGTGGAAGGGTTGTGGGAGAGAATTAGGAGATACGAAGGTGCTAGATGAAGTAGCGGCTGCCATTTTTAAGTGCTGTCACCCAGCTTGCTTTTTCTTGGTTCCTCAGTGTAGACCTTGGGCAAGAAGTAGTGTCTGTATGTTCAGAGTATTCTAGAACGTGATAATGTTCATTTATAGAGCACTCACTATGGACTAGCAGGTCCCCTTAGTGTAGGATGAGGGTGGTTTTCTGGGCGAGACTCAGAGGAGGCTGGTAGCCACACTGTGTGTGTATAATGCTTGGTTTAATGCATGACAGCTCCGGTTTACCTGCTCAGTTGTCACCCTACAGAGTGGGAAGCTTCTGGAAGTATGTCCTGGGATGCTCCGTGGGAGACACCCAGAGGCCCTGCAGTCCTCCAACAACTCCATGAGATAGGTATTACTGTTATCCTTCATCTTCTAAAGGGGAAATTGAGGCACAGAGCCATTCAGGGACTCATCTTGGACAGAGAGCCTGTGCTCATCCATCAGATGTGTGGCAGAGGCGAGCTGCCAGGTAGGTGGTCAACCTGGAGCCTCAGTTTCCACTCTGGGATGCCTTCTCAGAAGGGGAGCGGGGTGGTTCTTGAAGAACTGTTCCAGGTGGGAGTCAGCTCAGAGGCAGGCAGAGGCTGACAGGGCTGCAGAGCAGGTTAAGGGGCTGAGCTCAGCCTGTCTGGGGTCTCTTAGCTGCAGGATGGGATTCTGTACCTGGTGTCGAGGTCCAGGAGGTTTGTGCCCCACCCCTCCTCCCTCCTCTCATGCTTCAGTAACACCCCCTTGGGCCCAATGAGACCATAGAGTTGCCTCCTCCCCCCCCCCACATGCCACAAAGCTTCCATCTTCCCTCTGCAACCTCACATTTCCAGATGGAGGGTTCCCAGTTCCGCTGCTGTGGATAAACATGGTAGGAGCGGATGAAAGTCGGGCTCACAGTGCTGACCACGACGCCATATTCCTCCACTTCTGCTCGGAGGCAGTCAAAGAAGCCAAGTGCAGCGTGCTTGGAGGCTGCATCTGGAAGAAAGATCAGCCAGACATGGGAGAGGAAGGGCTTAGCCCTGCTTCCCAGTAGAGGCATTGCAACAAGAGGGCTGAAAGGGGCCACAAAAGCTCACTCTTTGCTTTATAGATGAGGACAGAGTCCTCTTGAAGTGGTGGGTTGAAAAAGGCAGAGCTGGGATTGGATCCAGCTTAGCCACTTGGCAGCTGTGTGACATTGGACAAATCACTCCTATCTTTAAAGCTCTGTTTTCTTATCTTCAAAATGGGAAGTTTTTGTGAAGATCAAATGAGAAAACATAAAATGTCCATCATAGGCATGAGTTCTCATTCCTTCCCAGGAAGGCTGGTATCTGAGGGATTTGCCCAAGGTGGGGGGCCAGTGGGTTGCTATGGTGAGCCTGGAGCCCAGATCTCCCTCTTGCTTTTTGCCCCCCTTTTCGATGGAGAAACTGCCCATCATGTACCACCGAATTCAGTTCAAATTGTGGAGTAAATAGGAATCCTTCCAGGAACTCCAAAAAGTGGAGGGGTCTCTCCTTAATACTTTAGAAAGTTAGAGGCTCATTTGGTGTATGGTGGACCCCAGCTTCACATTTCAGAGGTGTCACCTAGAGGCAGGCAGTAAGTGCCCAGGCCCCTTTTAAGAAAGCACAAGCGCCGCCTACAGGTGGCCTTATGGTGTAGCTTCAGTCAGCTCTTGCTGGGGGAAGCTGGGCCCAGTGACTAGATTGTTTAGGAGTAGCTGAAAACCCTGATGCTTATTGAAATGTTTTAGAATTTAAATAACTATTAAACAAGAGAAAGAAACTTCCATCATGTTGGCAGAATCAATCCCAGCTGGGCACCTGCCTCACCTTGTACCCTCCCAGGCTGTCCCTTCCTGGCTTATACAGTTACTTTATATACATCAGTCATCTCACTCGAGTCTGTCTGCACTTGTGCAAGACTTGCTAGCTCCTTGACTTAATACAGTTAGTCTCTGTATCTGTGGGTTCCCCAACTGTGGATTGAAAATGTTCAGGAAAAAATTGCACCTGTACTGAACACATACAGACTTTTTCTAGTCATTGTCCCATAAACAGTACACTATAACTGTTTACACAGCCTTTACATAGTACTGAGTATTAAAGAGGATGTGCATAGGTTCTATGCACATACTGTGTCGTTTTACATAGGAGTCTTGAGCATCCTTGGATTTTGGTATTTGTAGGGAGTAGGGAAACATCCCCTGTGCATGCTGAGAGGCTGCTGTATATTGAATGAGGGGGACAGAGGACCTCTTATGGCCACTTTGTGAGTAGTGAAGAATGAGAGGCTGAGCGGTTGTGTGAGTGACTCTAGGCAGAGTATCGGCTAGAATCCTGGCCTCTTGTCTCCCATGCCCTGTTGGATTTCCCTTGTGGTTCACAGTGAACACAGTTCTACCTGCATAAAAATAGTTACCACAGCCATCAGGCTTTGCAAACCAAACCTACAAGGAGATATTTCTTCTTGTGACTGGAATCACTAAAATCAAGATGGATAATCTTCAGAGAGTGGAGAAATTGGAGCCCTTGTGCATTGCTGGTAGGAAAATGAAAGGGTGAAGCTGCTTTGGAAATGGTCTAGCAGTTTCTTAGATATCTAAATATAGACTTCCCTGGTGATCCAAAAGTTCCTCTCTTAGGTATGTACCCAGACAAATGAAGACATCTGTCCCCAGAAAAACTGTACATGAATGTTCATAGCTGAATTATTTGTAATATCCCCAAAGTGGAAACAACCCAAATGCCTATCAATAGATGAACAGATAAAATGTGGAATTTCCATCTAGTGAAATATTACTTGGCCATAAAAGGGAAGCAACACTGACTGACACATACTATATTATGGATGGACCTTGGAGACATTCTGCTAAATAAAAAAAAAAAAATCCGCAAAGGGCCCTAATCCAGTATGATTGTCCTTGTAAGAAGAGGAAATTTGGACACACAGAGGAAAGGCCATATGGGGACATAGCAAAAAGGCAGCCATCTGCAAGCCAAGGAGAGAGAGCTCAGAGGAAACCCACCCTATGGACACCATGATGATGGACTTCCAGGCCCCAGAACTGTGAGGAACTTCATTTCTGTTATGCACTTTGGTTATAGAAATCCATGCAAACTCATGCAGGGGACCTACCCATTTTTCCCTCTTTCCTCTATCACTTTCCCTTCTACCTATAGACATTTAATGAGCTTCTATTGGCACATGGTATTGGGGGCCACAGAGAAATAGAAATGGCATGTTCCTTGCCCTCCCAGAGCCTACCTCATGGGAAGTGAGAATGAATGTCTCCAGAATTTCCCCAAAGTATCCGTGAATGTGCACTTGGAAATCTCCCTCCACTTTGCATTTCTGTCCTTTGAAGTTGCACTTTTCCTTTTCTTTTTCTTCCTTCCTCAGAACATCTCCAACCCTCTCGCCTTTTGGAATGTACACCCATTCTTCTCTTTCTCAATTATATTCTGTCCTGTCCTTTGGAGCATCTTCATGAAGAAGGGGCATTTGAACTGGGGCTGTGCATCCCTATAGGATGAGAACTTCACCTGGCACTGTCATGTTCAACCATGGCACTGTCATGTTCAACCATGGCATTGCCTGCCCACCTGTAAGACTAAGCTTTGAGAGGCAGGGAGCCTTATCTGTACATCTCAGCATCTCCCATGGGGACCTGGGTGCAGGTGCTCAAAATAGGAACTGAAGGGATAAAAGAACATCCAGCAGATCCAGGTCATCTCTGGATGGGACATCTCTTGCCTGATGTGGTCATGTGTCTGGCCTTAGGCATAACAGCACTCCTCTTACCACTTAAGGTGTATAGCACAAGACATGCCATTTTGTCTTAGCAACTTACAAGCGGTACGGAATGGGATTCCAAATTTTCCTTGGATGTTGTTCACTAACACAATCTGGCCCGTCCTCCTGGAGATCATGTTGGGAAGCAGGACTAGAAAATACAAGGAGTCACAGTTAGAAATCTGAGACAGGCAGCAGCTGGCAGGCTCTGTCCCACACCTGCTTGATCACACATGGATTTGCTACCTCCGTGGCAATTAGACTGCAGCCTGGCCCAGATGAAGTGGACCCCAGCAATCATTGACCCACTGTTTCCAAGAGCGGGATGGCTCAGCTGGCGCGTTGCTGGATGATTTGAAGAGACCCACCAATGGAGCACTGATTAGATGACACAGATTTCAATAACAGGAAAGGGTTTTTTGTTTGAGTTGTTTTTTCTTTTCTTTTTTTCTGAGACAGGGTTTTGCTATGCAGGTCAGGCTGGTCTCCAACTGGTGATCCTCTTGCCTTACCTCTTGAGTTCTAGGATTATAGGCGTAAGGCACTGTGCCTGACCCGAAAGGTGTTTTCTTTCAATTCTCCTATTGCCTTAAGAAGAAAGTCTCATGTTGGTTCTGATATGTCTTTAATGCTTTTCTTGCAAACACAACATTTTTTTCTCTTTTTAAAATTATTTTATTAGCATATAATAGCTGTACGGGGGGCTGCATTACGATATTTACATATGTGCTTACAATATATCTCAGATTTACCCCCTCCATCATTCTCTCTTTTCCCTTCCCCCTCTTCTTAGAACAATTTCAACAGGTTTCATTCTTTTATTTTCATATACGGGTACAAAATACATCCACCACATTCCTCCTCATTCCCCCTTTCTTTGTGCTTACCCCCCTCTCACTGGTATCCACCCCCAGAAAAGACCTATTTTTTCCTCCTGCCCTTCATTGTTTTAAAGTATGTATTGATAGTCCAAGAGGATTTTGCCTTGGTACTTCAGGCCTGTATATATCTTGCTTTAATCAAATTATTCCCCTGCCCCATTACTTGCTCTTTCTCTATCACCATGCTCTCCTAATATTCAACAGCTCACATTACTGTACATTATGTGACATTCATGTATAGATAGGTTGTTTTAATATTTTTTATTCTCTAACATTTTCTTTGCCTCTCTTGCCTCCTATGGTCCCCTCAGCCAGACCAACTAATACAATTTTGTCCTCTCTCTCACCACATATAGATATAGATATAGCTATAGATGTGTGTATGTATACATATATATAATCACGTATGTATCTATATATACACATTTAGCTTACAGGTCCAGCTTCCACACATGAGGGAAAATATGTGGACTTGACTTTTTGAGCCTGGCTTACTTCACCAAGCACTAGTTTAAAAAAAAAAAAGAAAGACTGCATGTCCTCCAGGCTATTTTGGAAGATGGTACTTCATTTACCTTTCAGGCTTTCTTCTGTTGATTAAGAGTGAAGTGGGTTTTTTTTTTTAACTCATCAGGCATGTCTGATTTATTTTCTTTTAGGTAATGTTTTTTGGAAAATTACATTTTCAAAGAATCAGCCCTTACAAACAGATAATCTTTCCAAAAATAAAATCCAGTATCTAGACTCCCAAAACTTACACAGGCAGATGGAAATGTCTGATGGTCGGCCAGGAGTGTCATGCTCAAGCAAGTTTCACGTCACAAATGGTCTGAAGTGGGTTTTAAAGTGTGTCAATATAATACAGATTTCTTCCTAATGTAAATTTATTTATTATTTGTGGTACTGGGAATTGAACTCAGGGCTTTGTGCTTGCTGGGCAAGTGGTCTACCACTTGAGCCACACGCCCAGTCTCCAGTCCTTTCTGCTTTATTTATTTTTTGGACAGAGTCTTGGGTTTTTGCCCCAGATGGCCTCAGTCCAGTATCCTTCTATCTTCACCTTCTGAATAGCTGGGATTACAGGCATGTGATACCATATCCTCCCTGGATTTAATTTTAAAATGAGAAAATGTGGAGAAGAAATTAAGTAAATTAATAGTACAGGTGGAATGGGAATATAGCTAAAAATGAAAAGATGGTGCTCAAAGCTCAACCTCCAGGATGGACCATTAAACCCAGCACCTTCACAAAGCTATGATCAGACTGAGGTCCCTGAGCACGTGAGAGGCCTAGCCAGAAGAAGCAACCAGTTCTGGCCTTTCCCACTGCCCTTTCTTTACTCCTCACATTGAATGGTCCCTGTCAAAGGCTGATGAACTTACCTTTGCTTGCCTACTTGGTGTGCCCCAGGAATTGAACTGGAGGAACCTTATATCTGGGCACCATTCTAGAAGCTCTGGAAGGTCATCTTTCTGCCCAAAGTGCTTCCTTCCCCTCAGTGTCTCAGAATCCCTTCCCTTCAGGCTCTTGCTGTGGATCTGGCTATAGAGAAGGCAACTAGAGACCAGGCCTTCTCAATCTCCACCAGGGCACCCTGTTCCCCACAGGGAGGCATTTTCTATGTTTCAAGTCTCCCCAGAGCTTCTGCTTTGAAAATCACTCATTTTTTTGGGGGGAAGGGGAAGGGTTTTAATTTGTGATTCTGTTACACAGTCATTTCCAGCCCTGTAGATTGGCATTTGGGCCCAAAGCTGAGAAATCTCTAACTGATATTTTCTAGGCCCCCTCTGACAGGTCCACACAGGAACAATGACCACTTCCCCTCCAAAGGGAGATGTCTTCCTGCCTTCCCTGTTTCATCTAAGGGGTTGAAAGAATACTAGGTTTCTTGCAGTTTGGTGATAAACCCCTTTTCCTCATTTCTGAGGACAGAATCTTTGACCAATTGTTATGGACAGATCAATTGCAAGGTTGTCATAGCAAAATATATGCCAAAAACGAAGTCAGTGGCCCCGAGAATTTGAATGGGAGGGAGCTATGGATGTAGGTGCAAAGATAGGGGGACATGGCAAGCTTGAGTAGGGAGAGGGGTTTTGTAGAGATGGAGGTTGGAACATACCAGTAAGATACTTCCAAAATCCCTTTTCTGGCATTTATAGTGAGAATTTACAGTGAGATTGTTTCAAGGTTTCACCATTTAAGTAGGGAATTTTCTGATGGGTTGGAAAGTTTTATCCAGAATTGGATGACTGAATGGCTATACCATAGATCCCTCCCTAGCATCTGGTGGCCCAGAAACACAGGGGAAAATGAAACTCACGAGACCTTTGGTCAAGGTGATGGGCCCAAAATAGTTGGCATCCATTATCTTTTTGTCGAATTCCAGAGAAATCTTATGGGCAGGCCCCTTCATCTTCATGCTGGCATTGTTGACAAGGATGTCGACACAGCCATAGCAATCCAGGACTTCTTTTGCCACATCTTGAACACAGCTGATGTCTGAGAGATCCAGGAGGACCAGCTTTGGGGTGAATGTCTGCTGGACCAATGAGAGAGTTAGGGCAAATGTGGGATCACCTCCCCCTTGAAGACTTTGTAGGCTCTCCGTGTAACAATCACTCCCTTGGACATTCAAAATGAACTTACTACAAAAAAGTAAACAAAGAGGGAGATGTAAAAGTGACTCTGAGATGAAGGCGATTGGTGGAGAATTCATTCTTGGAGACCAGGGCAACAATAAATCCAAATGTGAGGCTGGACATAGTGGTGTACCCTGTAATCCCAGCTATGTTGGAAGGAAGATGGAGGTCTGAGGCCAGCCTGGGAAAAAGTGTGAGACCCTATCTAATAAACAAACTAAAAGTGAAAGGACTGGGGGCATGGCTAAAATGATAAGAGTACTTGCTTAGCAAACATAAGACCCTGAGTTCAAACTCCAGAACTGTCAAAAAATCCAAAATTCAAAAACAAATACCCAGTAATAAGTCTGAACTTGTGGCCAGAGTTCCAGATCTCTTAAATCCAAATGAATATTGTCCTTGACAATGATGGTCTTTGGAGGCTTGCTCTGGTTTCAGTGGTGAAGATATTCTGGCCTCCTTTTAGGAAACTGCTTTCCAAACTGGCTTACAGGTTACAAGAAAATCCACACAGTAGTCTGTAGCCACATTTTGGTTTGGATAAAAATTGTACTCAGGACTGGTGGAGTGGCTCAAGTGGTAGGGCCCTTGCCTAGCAAGTGTGAGGCCTGGAGTTCAAACCCCAGTACTGCCCCCAAAAATCATACTCAACACAGTATTTTTGGAGTACCTATTATGTCCTAGATATTGTGTTCAACTGTAGACATTTGCTGTCATTAAGACTATTGGTCTAGAGGTGGGGACAGATGGGAAAATTGGTGGCACCAAGAGGTCAGTGTAATGTAACCCTGGTATTTGACAAACACTAGTTCTGAGATGTGCCCTCGAAGAGAAGGTTCCTATTGTGTGATCAGAGACTCTGAAGGAAAGTTCTGCAGTAAAGAAACCAGACAAGCTCAATAGGACTCAGTATTTCTCTCTCAAACGACAGCAGAACCTTTTTACCCCAAACCTAATCCCAAGAAACACATTTTGGAGAATTCTGTGTGGTGCTATCGATCCATCCCCTCACCAGATTTCGCCCTGAATTTCTTTGGGCTGTTTCCAAGAACCAAATCCAACCCTATGGGAAAAGATTAAAAAAAGTCCTGAAGAGAGCCCTGAAGGTGATTCTTTACAAGGCGATCCTGAAATGCTTTGAAAGCTGCAGCCACTTTAACATAAGTGTTCACTTCCTGGATGACTTCTTGGGAGGAGACTTCCCTGATTTCCTTGTTGAAGAAATATCATTTGATGTTTTTGTCATTAGCATTGTTGTTTTAAAATCAGCCATGTCTGAAATTTTAACTAGAGTACAAGGGACATCTCCTATCCTTTGGATTCTTGTTGAGTCTGACTTAAATTAAAATTAGGGTGAGGGTAAGTGCCAAATTTATTGCATGGTGAGTGGCCAAAACAAGCCAACCCCTCATGACTGGCAGAGAGAACTATGTCATAGCCAGTGGAACCATTGCCTCACATTTCCCCATAGCAATCACCAATTTCCCCTGTTTATCCCAAGAGCTGCTCCTTAACAATCAAGGGAAACCAAGGATGCGCAAGAATTACCAAAGCCAAGTGAGGAGGCCTTACCTTGCTGGGGTCAGCAGCACCGATCAAGGCATCATAGAGGTTCTCCAGCCTCTCCCAGTTTTTCCCACACAGCACCAGTCTTGCCCCACCCGTATGGAACACCTGAGCACACTCTGTGGAGAAGAAGGAAGTAGGGTAAGGTATACTATGTGGATGGAGCCACTGATGTGGAGTCTTCCTCTCTTAAGCTGCAGGACTCCTGAGCAAGGCAGCATCTGTTAGCAGAGGAGAAATCCCTGAAAAAGGGGGTGTCTGTGAACCCATAGCAACAACGCTCACAGCACCTGAAGAATGGATGAACTGGCCAAGCACAGGAACCTGGGGGAGGCATCCACAGCACCTACTCAAAGGTGGTACTTAATTTTGTCCCATTCGGCAGCAAGAAGTGGTGGGCCCAGGCTGACAGGGCACACTGAAGGATAGCCTAGAAAAGTGGGTGTCCACTGGTGGCTCTGCATCCTGAGGGCAGTGGCTCAAAGTGATCCTGTGACTGTGTGTATGTGGCCCCAAGGGTGCACAGGAGGAGCTCAGCTGGTCAGGACAGGTGTTGGGATATGATCAGTGGGCATCGTGGGCAGATAAATTGTGATATTGGAGAGGGAGGGAGGGAAGGAGGGAGAGAGAGAGAAAGGGAGGGAGGGAGGTAGAGAGAGGAGAGAGAGAGAGAGAGAGAGAGAAAGAGAGAGAGAAAGAGAGAGAGAGGGGTGCTGGACCACAGAGTCTAAGCTAGTTAGGAGCAGGAGTGAAGTCACAACAAGCTGCTGGGAAAGAAAAGGAGAGGGCTGGGCTGAGCTCAGTGAGTTAAAGACAGGTGTATGAGGGCGGGGCCATGGTTCAGTGGCAGAGATTGTGCCTAGCATGCAGGAGGCCCCTCAGGGTTAATTCCAGAGCTGCAAAAAAAATAAATAAAACCAAACAGGTGCACTGGCTGGAACTGAGAGAGCAGGGAGGGAAGCCAGGGCCAGGCTCCTGGCTGAGGGGAACCTGGACCAAGAAGTTACTGCATAACAATGTTATGTCACCTTGAATCGTCAAGATTGCAGAGAATGGAAGGTTTCTCTCAGTGGAGGGGTTTTATTGAGAAAGGGGGTTCCCATCACAATTCTGAATGGCAAAGTCCAATAAAGATGTCAACTCAACTCTATGTTAATTTGGTGCAGAAAATCATGACTGCAATAGGTCTTAGAAAATAACAGAAAGATTCTAAAGTTTTTATGGAATAATTTACACATTTTAATAAGAATAATAAATATAAGGAAAAGCAAAGAGCATTTTGAAAGACAGTCATTAACTATATTATAAAATTACAGAAAGTAACAGAATATTTATAGTTCAAGAGCAGATAAAAACATTGATGATAGTAGAGTCAAGTAGTAAGTCTTTCCTACATATATGCTAATGTTAGTATATTGAATCAGTGGAAAAAGAACATACTATTTCAAAAGTGGTATTTGGGTGGAAATTGGGGAAGGACAAAAACTAGTTGCAATATAGCAAAATATACTAAACAGTTAAATGTAAAAACAGAACCATAAAATAACTAGAAGAAGGTAGACATGGATACAGTCTCTCATTGGGGAAAGGTCTTTTGAATGTGCACTAAAGAAACAAATCATAGGAGAAATGATTTATAGATTTTACCCTTGCAGAAACTTGACTTCAGAAACATAAATAACGAGCAGGACAAATGGAAAAATTTATAAACTGTGTCTGTAAAGGGCTAACTTATCTGATATGCAAAGAACTCTTACAAATCAATAAGGAAGAAAGATAAAGACTCTAATGAAGAAATTGACTAAGGAAATAAGTGAGCAGTTCTTTTAAAAAGTACCAAGAAGCCAGGTGCTGTGCCTCATGTAATCCTAGCTACTCTGGAGGCTGAGATAGGAGGATTGCAGTTCCAGACCAGCCTGGGCAAAAAAGTTACTGAGACCCCATTTCAACCAACAGCTGTGCATGCCTGTCATCCCAGCTACTGTAGGAAGCATAAATAGGAGGATAGCATTCCAGGTCAGCCTGGACAAAAAGTAAGACTCTATCTCAAAACAAACAAATCAGAGCAAAAAGCCTGGAGGCGTGGCTCAAGTGGTAAAACACCTGCCTAGCAAGTGCGAAATCTTGAGTTCAAACTCCAGTACTGGGGAAAAAAAAAGGTACCGAGAGCTAATTTACAGAAGAGCCAATCCTAATACTCCTAATAATAAAGCATGCAAATGAAAGTATGGATGGCTCTGATTTTGATCTATCAGATCATCAAGAACAAAATTGGTAACTGTTTTAGCAAGATCTGAGTAAAGGACCTGTCACCTGTTCACTTTGGGGGTAGTATAGACTGTTCCAGTTATTTTGGAAGAAAAATTTAGCTGCATCTTTACAAGCAATTTCACCTATGAGCAATTTAATTTAAGGAGATCATTAAGAATGTTTCATAGAGCTGGGCATAGTGGTGCACACCTGTAATCCCAGCTACTTCAGAGGTAGAGATAGAAGGATTCGCAGTTTGAGGTCAGTCCAAGGCAACATGTTAGCAAGACCCTATATCAAAAACAAGGTGATTGTGGTGGTGCATACCTGTAATCTCAGCTACTCAGGAAGTGGAGGTAGGCTGGCTGGGACAAAAGTGTGAGTGCCTAGTATAGTCCCTAGGTGCAAAGCAAACTGAAGCAGAAAGACTGGGGCTTGACTCAAGTGGTACAGTGCTTGCCTAGAAAGCTCAAGGCCCTGAGTTCAATTTTCAGACTCCCCACACCACCACAAAATATGTCACAATGGCAGTTATGAAATTTTTATCTCAGTGCCATTTATAACAGAAAAGAGTTGGAGATAATTGCAAATGTCCAATATAATAGGAGGTTGGTTAAATCAGTTGTAGTACAGCTTGGCATAGAATACTTTGAAACCCTTCAAATTGATTTTGCAGAAATGGATCTACTGAAGTGGAAAGAACTTCATGACAAAGTAAGTTTTCAAAAAGGCTCAAAAACGGTGTGTTGAATACAGTGCTATTACTTAAATGTGTGTGCTTATGTACAGAATGGACAAAGCGTACAGCTCTATAGGCAAGAGGATATTACATTAGAAGTTTAATGGAGGTACTAAGATCAAACAGATATCAAAGTTAGAGGGCAACCTAAGATGTAGATCTTCAAAGAAAATAAGTGCAAACCTGTTTTATGAGGTTCAATTCCTTTTACCCCAAAGTAGGCTAGGTTCTCCACACTAGGCTGCCTCTTGGCCAATCCCCACTGCTGAGAAGGGAGTGCTGTCATCCACCTGCTCTCTCTCTCTCTCTCTCTCTCTCTCTTTCTCTCTCTCTGTCTCTCATGATGATGGGCACCCAACTCAAGCTGGGCATTGAGGGGCGGGGGGTGGCACAGGGTAGTCATCTGTGGCCAGGAGCCAGTCTAAACCTCCAGCCTCAGCCTTCTTAAGAGAAGCAGCCAAGAGGACCCCAAGGTTCCAGCCTCTCCTTCACTAACACCTTGCTCTCTCAGGGAGCCCTGGAGACTGGAGCCTATGTAGTGCTGGATACTCCCAGTCCAGAGGCACCGCTCCCATAAGTCATTGCTGCTGAAGCCAGGCCCGCTCATTTTTTCTTCATCAGCTCAGCACTTGTCTTGTGGCAAGCCCTGACCTTTTCTTTTTCAATAGTGAACACAACTGAACCTTTCGTCTCCAGGTCATTGCATCTAAGATGCCAATAGCTATAAGATGCTTCCTGATTTCAGAGATAACAAAATGAGAAAGGATAGCCTACAGGGACTGTAAGATGTCATTAATTGTGAGGTGCACTGATTCCATCAATGTTTAAAGGAGAAAAACTGCACAGGCAGGGCTGGTGTTCTGTTGCTATTCCCTGAAGAAGGCCAAAGATGGTGGTTAGGTATTTTAATTGTCATTCTTGCCACACACACTGTGGGTACAAAGCCACATAATGCCTGACTTGGCTGAACTGTGGGGTTTTGGGACAAGGGTTAGGATACCTGATGTGGTCTGTTTATTTGATCTCCCTAGAGGACGATTTGGTACTGTCTCCTTGACAGGATCCCCAGATCCTGTGGTATCTGGACGGCAATGGGTGGGGTAACTCACATCATCCACATCAGGTCTCTAACTTTTTTCTTGCTTTGGGCTTGATATGGAGCAGTCGGAACCTGGAGTCTCTGTCAGCAGTGGCACATCGAAGGCAGGCATTTATCTAAGGTCACATACACCCAGTTTCTCAAGTTACTTGTAAATGCTTGGTCTTCTTTCTGCTTTGCATTTCTTTTCAGGGTGGGGCAATGAGATGTAATAAAAAAGAATAATGACCGTAGACTGGACCATGTCTCTCTGCAAATGCTGTATTTGCTCCTTAGATATCTTTCCTGGTGTTTTGATTTATACAATGTATGATGATAACCTAATGAGATTAAAAAATAAGTGAGACTATTAAAAGAAATACACACCTCTCAGCTATAGAGAGAACAGTGGCTCTAACAGCAAGGACACAGAAGAACTGGACAGTGTCCTCAGGTAACAGGATCTTGTCGACATTTGTAGGCCTCCCCCACCCCCAACAGCAGCAGTGGCACATTCTTTCCCAGTCCTCAAGGGACATACACCAATATAGACCCCATGCAGGCCATTAAAAAAAAAAAAAACCCTCAAATTCTGAAGAATCAAAATCATCCAGAGTTTGTTCTCTGACCATACTGGAACCAAACCATAAACCAATAAAACAAAAACAAAAACATACTTATCTAAATGAGTGTCTTCCCTCTTCAAATGGTCATGTTAGAGACTGTTCATTACATGAGCGTTTTTGAATATTCATGAGGTGCTGGGGACAGCAGGATGAGCAAAACATAGGCTCACCCAACAGGAAGCTTGTGCCTGGTGGGCAACTGAGAAATGCACAGATACAGTGCAGCGTGAGAAGAATGCATGTAGGCAAAGAGCCATGGGAGATAAGAGGACAGGTCCTCTGGGGCCATCCATGCAAAGGAAGGAGCAGGTAAGGTGTCAAGGAAGGCTCTGGGGGAAGGCCAGATCAGGGGCCATCTGTTGGTAGCCTGGCTTCATTCTAGATAAATGTATTTTATTTGGAGAACAAGATTTCCCCAAAGCCTTTGACTTTGAATGGCATTATGTGGTTTTCCAGGGGAGCTCTGTTGTCTGGTATCTAGTCTGATTAGCAAATATGAGTGCTCTGGTCTTCAGCTTGAGTTGAGTTTGTGTCATCCTCCCCCAACCTCCCTCTCCTTCTGAGCACTGATTCTGATGAGGCAGTTCAGCTTCTTTGGGCATTGCTTCTGGGACCCATTGAGGAACCACATAGAGAGCCAAATCTGTATGCCTTTTGCTTTATTTTTTTTACTTGATATGACTGACACAAGATGATCACTCACTGAAATCTAATCTATCCTCAAAGCATGGAGATTGACTTCCATTGGGATACCCAAGAGAATGAGCAGAAGTCCTGAGAGAAATCTCAGAGAGGACGCGACAAATATTCTCATGGTAGAACATTCCTGGCCTCCCAGAAAGGAAGGGACTCTTTGGAAGGGACAATGCTCAGGACACAGTGCTGATCACTTGTTGACTGGCTAATGGATGCTGGCTGTGTGGGTTCTATACTTGATTAAAAAACAACAAAAAACAGCAGCAAAAATTGCCCCTAACCTACCATTGTTTGGGATGATAGTCAGAATTTTGCAAAACCAAAAGCCATTTACTATCCCTCAGGACACAGATGCCACAAGCAGAAGGGTCCCTGAAACTTCCTACTTCAGGGGTTGCAAATGTAAACAATTTCAAGACTCAGAGGTGAGATGGTGAAAAGAATCAGGCCATGTGTGACATAATAGGGAGTGGTAGGGGGTGTGGGCCTCTGAAGTGGCCCCACTGCCTAACTTTGTTCACCATTATCATCATCACTAACACGAGTGGCACCCATGGTAGCTCTAGGCTCTCTTCTAAGTACTACTCAGCCATTATTACATTGCTTACAACTACATCACAAGATAGAGACAGCTAGCATTCTTACTTTACAGATGAGAAATGCAAGGCAGAGAAGTGAAGTAAGCAGCTAATAAGTACCAGAGAGACTGAGCCCAGCACCTCAGACTGGGCCTGCCACTAGTATGCAGCCCTAGCTAAGGGCTTTGCTGGAATCACCATAAAAGTAAAGCCAATCATGTTACAGACCCATATTTGGTCCCTAGACTGTGTGTTTGCAATCCCCACAAATTCCAGTCCCCTCATGTATCAGGCAAAGAAGCCACAGTTTTTATCACCCCTCCTCCCACCCCAAGGAGGGGAAACACGTAGAGTAATGAAAGAGACTGGGAGAGAACACAGTATTGACCCCCTCTCCACCTGACAGATGTGACTGCATGTCACTTGGGGCAGAGATGGGCACAGAGCGGGGAGGAGCCAGCTTACCCTTGCCCAGTCCTGAGATGGCATCAGTAATCACCACCACTTTGTTCTGCACGGTGGACTTTGACCACAGCCTGGACACCTCCTGGTAGATGAAGAGGAGCCCGCTAATTCCCAGCAGTAGCAGGGGCAGCATCAGCACAGCCATGACTCCCATCTTGCTCTGGGGGGGTGGCGGGGAGGGCAACAGGGTGAGAAAGGATTGGCTTTGCAGAGACCCTGATTGGGACGCCCAGGGCAGGGGGAGGTTAGGGGCTGCAGGACCCATTCCCTCCTGGAGCCTCTTCTCCAGGGAGCTCAGCTCTGTGCAACCCAGGGAGGCTGCTTCCGAGCTGAGCACAAAGTGAGCAAGCTAATCTCCACATGCCCAACAAAGAGGAAATTACTCACGGTGTCTTCCAAAAGCAAATCGAGTCCAGGGGGCCTGCCCGCCCCAAAGGTTAATTACAAATTTAATTCAAATGTGTCTGCATTTTTGGAAGGAAATGCATGTGTTAAGGCCACTTGCTTGGGCCCAAATAGTTATTTATAACTCTCAGTTGCACTAAAGGGCTTTTCAGGGTAAGTATAGTATCTATTCTGATACTCAGGCACATGCTGGCTGGCTCTGATTTCAGAGTTCTTGCCAGGACTTTCAAGCTCTCCTGGCTTGCTGGACTGTTAGGATTTCCCCTGAAGTTTGGGGCTGAGCATTAGGAATCAGGCCCTGGGATTTTCAACACAAACGTCCTTGCCCTCACTTCCTGCATCAGGACACTTGCAGGTAGTTCAGAGGCAGTGACAGCAAGCCATCCATATTTGCTCTCAGGGTTAGGGATGAAAAGCATAGAAAACCAGAATGGAACCTGTTGCAGAATGAACCACTTGAAGGTGTGACATGAAATAGCAGAAAGAGCACTCTTTAGGAACATCTTACCTCACTGAACCTCAGCGTCTTTATCTGTAAAATGGGAGTGCCGTCTTGCAGGATTGTTCGAAGGACAAAATAAGATAGAATCCGGATCACAGGAACACAACTGTTGCTATCTTTTATTATTAAAAGCACTAGAATTTATTCCAAATGTTAAATATTTTAATTATGTAAGGGGACTCAGCATGATTAGAAATAGACATAAATCCCGCTGAAGTACTCAAACCACCAAAACTCAGAGGACCCGTTTCAGTGACATCCTAACCTGTGTGGAAAAGACCAAGGGGCTGGCCGGGAAGTGGGCAAACAGCAGTGTATGGAGGTGGGGGAGAGGGAAACTGCATTTCGTCTTGGAAACTAGGAATAATCAGGAACATTTAAAAAAACTAACTTCTTATTCACATTTAACATACAGATTAGAAATGTGCCTTTATCGTGAGTGCTAAACACATCCACGTGACCAGCACCCAGATCAACTCGTCCCTGTCATCTCTCTTTCCAGCCCTAAATGGGGTCTACTGGCCAGCATTTAAATGCTTGTATTGGTTTTGCCTTTGTGCATGCAATTTCCTTTAAAACTTTATTTAAATAGATTCACTAAGTTGCCAACATTTAGGGCTCAACATTACATTTATGAATTCATTCATACTCCTGTGTGAAATTGGAGATCATTTTCATTGTGTGACTATATCTCAACTTTTCCATTCATTCTTCTGAGAGGGGGCACATGCAAAAGCCTTGAGACAGTGTGCTTGGTATTCACGAAGCAGGCAGGAGGCCAGGACAGAGTGACAAGGGTAGGGGTGAGTAATAGAGGAGGCCAGGGAGGCAGTTGAGAACCTATGTAGCTTGGAGGACGCAGTGAGACGCTGGCTTTTACTCTGAACAAGAAGTGATTCCTGTAGGGTTCAGAGTAGAGGAGAGGCATGATTGGACCTTCAATTACTAGAAATAGATTATAAAGGAACAAGAATGGAAGAAGTTCAAGACTGGGGTGAATGGGTGAATGGGTCTGGCCTATGGCTGGGGCTGACAGGTTCAGTCTCTCCCTTCTTCCTGGAAGGTTTTTTTTTGTTGTTGTTGTTGTTCTCCTCATTGCCTTCTCTCAGTGCATGGTAAGACCCATTTCTAAGGATACTGGAAAGATTTGGCAGAGGGATGGGGGGCTTCTTTTATGAATACAGAAAATGCCATCTTCTGCAGCTCTTCAAGGTGTGGTGATGCTCATGGAGTTCATAGGTGAGGGATGCCAGGGCTACGTGAGACAATGTGTGTGCACATACTTTTCTAAACAGTAAGTTATTGGGTCAGTATCACTCCCCCCCACCCCCAACCCCATGCATGTTTTCTAGAATGACATGTAGATCTGGTTACCTTGATATTTTCTTTCTAGTCAGAACCAACATGTTTTGCTACACGAAGCTGCTCTCATTCTTGATTGCCCTTTGGCAGGTGGGCATTTTCCATCCACCAAGGCCTTCATACATAGGTGCCACAGCTGGTGTAGAGGAGGAAGCAAGGATGGCATGGGATGGTGGACTGCTGGACTAGCATGACATCTTGCAAAATTGTCTGAAATATTATTCAGCTTTAAGAAGGAAATTCAGACATAATTGATGAACTTAGAGGACATTCTGAGTGAAATAAGTCCATCCCAAAAAGACAAATGCTGTATTATTCCACATATGTGAGTTATTCAGAGTAGTCAAATTCATAAGGACAGAAATTAGCTCTCTTTCTTCCAGCCACCCAAGATGTCAAGAAGAAAGCTGCCAAGGGAAAGAAGGTGACCCTGGCCTCTGGTGTCAGGAAGAAACAGATGGCCAAGTAGGTGGTAAACCTTCTATCTGGGAAAAGGCCTAAGAATTTTGGCATTGGACAGGACATCCAGGCCAAAAGGGACCTCACTTGCTTTGTCAAATGGCCCCACTGCATCAGATGTAGTGGTGAAGGGCTCTCCAATACAAGTAACTGAGAGAGACTCTGTGATTGACCAGTTCACTCAGGCCTGGAGCAGCTACCCTAACAACTCCCCAGCTGTGTAAACTGGCCCTCAAACCAGCTAGAGACACAGCAAGACAAGAAGCAGAAGCTGTGGGTCTGGATTAAGAAGAAAGCTGCCAGCAAAGGGGATGTCCCCACTAAGAGAGCACTTGCCCTTTGAATAGGGATTAATACTATCACCACCTTGGTGGAGAACAAGAAGTCTCAGCTGGTGGTGATTGCACATGACGTGAATCCCATTGAGCTGGTTGTCTTCCTGCCTGCCCTGTGTCACAAGACAGGGTACCTTACTCTGTCATCAAGGCAGGCTGGGACGTCTAGTCCATAGGAAGACATGCACCACCATTGCCTTTACACAGGTTAACTCAGAAGACAAGGTGCTTTGGCTAAGCTAGTGGGAGCCATCAAAACCAGTCATAATAACTGATACGACGAGATCCACCATCACTGGGGAGGCAATGTCCCGAGTCCAAAATCTGTGGCTCATAACTGGAAAAGCAAAGGATAAAGAACTCATCCCCAAACTGGGTTAAATGTACATTATTGAATTTTCCATACTTAAAAATAACATTGTTGAGAGAGAGAGAAAAGAGAAGAGAAGAAAGGAGAGGAGAAAAGAAGAGGAGAGGAGAGAAGAGGAGAGAGGGGAAAGAGAAAGGAAGAAAGAAAGAAAGAAAATGAAAGAAAAATGATGACTGTTTAGGACTTCTTGTTTAGAAGTGGGGACTGGGAGTTAATGATTAACGGGTACAGAGTTTCAGTTGGGGGGAGATGAAGGGAGTTCTGGGGATGTATTTCCTTAATGCCACTGAATTCTAATAGAAAATGGTTAAAATGGTCAATTTTGATGTGTATTTTTACCACAATTAAAAATAGAAAAAAATGGTCCAACCACCTTTGAAGAGAAAATCTCAGTACAAGATGATTGATTCTATTCATAGAAAATCTGAAGCCATATGAGACAGTAACATGTAGTTAATGGATACATTTATGCAAAGGAGATTAGCAATTTCTGCATGGTGGTTTGTTCTTGGGAAAGAGAAACATTTACTTCTATTAAATCTAAGTGGTGGGTACATGGGTGTATGTTCCATTTTTTATAAGAGAGAGAAAGAGAGAGAGAGAGAGAGAGAACCAGATGCATTCTGTCTAACATTCTTAATCTGTGTTTCCAAATTCTCTTGTTTTCAGACTATAATCTTTTTCTTTTCTTCCACGTCTTCATGGTACAGAAGACCATCTCAGGACAGCTGTCATCCTTCTTTGCCATCTGGAAACAAGGACACAGGACTCTTGCTCCTGAGTTCCCTGAATCTGGTGGGGTAATCATTGAGGGCCAGAGCTGCTTCCACCTGATGACAGGCTTGTTGTTCAGAACAAATGACACCCTGGCCATTGTCTTGTCTGTTGGTGTCACCGAGACAGATGAGGGGTCTCCCATAGCTTCCCAGTTTACACACACACACACACACACACACACACACACACACACACACACACAAATCAGGTCCTTGAGATCCACAAACATTGAAAAGCATTTCAAGGTGTCTCATCACAAGGTGGGAGGTGGAAGTTTTAGCAAGGACTCATTTTAGTTTAACAGGATAAAGTATAGACAAAGTGAGGAGGGAGAGAAAGAGAAAGAGTTCCTGCTCCCTATGCAGGAAATGGGAGCATCTCCTAGCTAGTCTTATACTGGAGAGCTGGGGGAATTCGTGGTTCTGGGTGCCTGAGATGGCTGTTAAAACAGGGAAGGGTCATCCTGCCCACCCAAATCACAGGGACAATAGGTGTGCTTTAGAACTTTCTTTTGCTAGACATAATTATTCTCTGCGCATCCCAGGACCCTTGCAGCTTGTCAACATCTCAAAGAGGAAAGCAGAAGCAGGTAGCTCCCCTTTGCCTCTCAGTTTCTGTAACTTAGCTTCTAAAAGGAGCTAGTTGGGGCTAGCTGCTCAGGCTCTCCAGCCTTTACTTCCTTGTCCCAGTGTCAGAGTCTGGCCCTTTAAATATTGATTAAAATAATATAATTTCCCTGTCTCCTCATCTATCTATCCTGCTTCATTGGCATAATAAGTAGGCAGTAGTGTTGCGTGCCGGTGTCGAGAGTTCTTGCCTCCACGGGCCAAAGAATTGGCATATGAAGCAGCGGATTGACTCTTGAGACAACAAGGTCACACACAAAGTAGGATTTATTAGAGAGGAAGGAAAAGCTGACCCTAGAGATGGACAGGGAGCCTGGAAAATCAGTAGCTCACTGTCGTCACAGAGGGGGGATTTTTAATTGGTCCTTTTTGTTGGGGAGGGGAGTTAGGAGTCAGGACTGGAGTGGCTTTTTGCTATATCTCTGTAGAAAGCCACTCTGTTGGAGAGGGGAGGTGCAGGAGTCAGGAGCAGAGTGGTCTCTTAACATATCTGTGCAGGAACATATACACAGTTCTGTGAGAGCCTCCTGTTTATCAGCCTTGTGGCTTTTTAAGTCATCCCCCGGGGGCCATGACTTGTGAAGCCACCTGTCCCTTTACAGGATATGGGGTTCACAGAGCTTTCATGGGGGATGGGGGCACTGGCTCATTTTGTCTTTTGATCCCCCA